GCAGTGCTTCTCTAGTAATGTACAGTATTACAACCACATGGAAACCTCCTTTGACTATAATGCATCCTTGAGCAATTTTCACTTTTACAGACTTCTATAGCCTATTTTGTCATAATAGGTTGAATACATATAGTGATTATTATGGACCACACTTATGAACTAGTAATATCCTCTCATTTAGCATATGCAAGAAGTTTGAATAAATGTTCAAGGTTGCTTCAAACAATACACTGGATTTGAGGACCAACAACCTATAATGGTATTGTGAACCATAGGAGTTGCTATATCACATCAGGTTGTTAACCCATCAAATAATACATACTACCCAGGATACAGAGTCCATGGCAGATGTTTCAGGGAAAAAAGCTAGATCCCTGCTGTTTCTAACATGGTAGTAGGTCATGCCATGCAAATCTAATATGCTTGTGTGTGTTTCAAAGAATTCAAAATTAGAAAGGTTCCCTCTGGATTGCAATAAATGTTGGCTCCGACAGTCTGGAACCATGGCATGTAGAGCTAGAATCATGTTAGTAATTAAATGCTGTTTACATGATGGTAGCATGAGCAACAAGTCACCATTTTGGTTGGTTGGGTTTATTTTTGAGATAGGTATGAAATGCCAGTGATAAGAGATTTCCTTGTGAAGTGTGGAGAGGGTATTGGTGAATTAAACTTCAGGAAATGAATAACCCTTGTAGTTCTAATTCATTTACCTCAGTTGTGTTTGATTTGCATTGTTCTGGCTTCTGAGTCATGAGTCCTAGTTATTATAAAAAGGCGGTAATACAAATTTTGCATGCTCACATTTTAAATAACTGTTTTAATGAATTAATACTAGATGTTTTTCGGACATCATATTCACGAAGCTTTTACCTTCTCGTTACATTGAACCACATGAATGTAAGGAGGCATTAACCACCACCTTTACCCACTCTGCCAAACCCCCTCTAGATTCTTTTTTCAGACAGGATGGGCAGGGGTCTAGGATGCATGTGGTAGGTCTCACCTCTCCAAGGATTCTGTCCACATCCTCAAGCTGAACCAATTGAAATGAATCCAATAAAACCGAACAAGCAGGTGCTCTCGTCACATCCTCAGAGACTGCTGTTAACGTGGCATCGAACTCGGAATGAATCGGTGCAACTTTATCTGCAAAGAACTGAGCAAATGCTTCACAGCGATCCACCGAGTCATCAGGGATCTCGCTTTTCGGCGGATTTAACAGCCCTCTGAGGACTCGGAATAGCTCGGCCGGACAGTTCTTTGCAGACGCAATATTGGCCGCAAGAAATGACTTCTGTGCCGCCTTTATTGCCGTGTCATAGGACCTTAAGAAGGTGTCTAGACGTGTTTGCGCTGATTTGGACTTCTTCCGACACCACACGAGCTCTAGCCACCTCTTCTTTCGCTTCATCGCTGCCAGCTCCTCAGTAAATCAAGGGGCTGGTTTAGCTCGGTTACTTGAGAGGGGACGTTCCAGGATGATTGTGTTGATTGCCCTGGTCATCTCACTATTCCAGCAGGAGACCAAGGCATCGACAGAGTCATCTGCCAAGGAGGCGGGAAAATCCCCAAGAGCCGTCAGGAATCCATTCGGATCCATAAGTCTCCTGGGGCGGACCA